CTGGGCATTCCAGGTATTCTGGCAATTCTTGGGAGCCATAATATGCCCAGTAGAAATTGTTTCTGGCTCTAATACACAGATTTGTTCTAGATTTCCAACATCCCAAAATTTGGGAGAATTTTAATCCAAGATTCTGATTTGGTCTATTTTAGAAAAAGGATCAACTGCAACATTCATATGTCCATATTATCTAGATTTCCCCTACAGTTTCAGAGTATTTGAAACCTAGAGTTTGCCTTTAGTTATGTATAACATTGGTAATTATTACAATGAGCCTAATCAACTATGAATGCTATATGTATATTCTTGAGCATTTTGCTGATCTTGCCTGGAGACATTCTCACCATCAATTCTCGTACAGAACTCACTGAAACTCACTGAAACTAATGGAAATACTTAAATGTAATATTAGGGAGAATCACAGAATCATAAAAAAGTAGGCCTGGAAAGGACTCCAGGAGGTCAACCCCATATTCAACGCAAGATCATCACTACCCAAATGATCCTATACAGGTGTTCGTCAACAAGTCCTGTTACACAACAGCAAAACATCCTACAGTCCATTTTGATCTGACCGTGGAGAAATGTGACTGATCCCAAACGTGGTTGATCAGTCTGACCCTAAGAAGCAGGGCAAGACCCTCCAATTAGGAACCTCTAGGTTTTAGTTCCAGCAAATACATCAGCTCACCCCAGGCAAAATGCCTAACCTTGGCTGCAGCCAACACCCATGGCTTCTGAGGAAGGAGGAGAAAAATGGGAGGGGAAAAAATTCCTTCTTGGCCCCATGTTGCAGCCAGCACAGCCCAGAAGCATTGGAGAAAACACATGAAATACTGCTTTTTAATTAATAAATTATAATTAATCTGCTGTATTCATGCAAAAATAAATATTTAGTCCTAACCATCTGAATTATTAGAAGACTTCATGTAACACTGATTACTGAGGTATCGTTTATATTTCAGTTAACTATGGGTTAATTTCAGTATGTCCTAATCCTTTGGTGAAATATCACATTTGACTTCAGTACAGTTTCCATCTCCAGTTTTGAAATGTATCCCACAATTGTATAGATGTGACCCACCGTCGGGCTGTTTTACCACGCATGTGGCATGGGAGTACAGCAAATGCAAACAGTAACCACTCTGCATGTGGCTGGTTTGGGTTTTTTTTTTTTAAACGAATCAGTCTGAGAGATCAGATTACTATGTGAATAAGTGCAGGTGCTTTTATTACAAAGTGATGAAGTGCAACTTCTGTAGCTGCACCCCTCACCATTTAAAATAATTGATCACTTTCTCAGAGATATTTAGGGTTGCTTCCCTGCAGCAACTTTAAAAGTGAACTGTTCAAGGATGAGAAATGTTAAATATGAAGCCTCAGGTCACTCATGCGTGGTTTTTCAAGCAAGCACCAATGTGTTTGCTTTCAGGCTGATCCTCACGTTGTGAAGAACTCCTAATAGACATCTGCAAAACTATCATCATCCTCCTTCAAATCCCCCATTAAAATTTGCCTCTGCCATTGTGATCATTGGCTGGTGCACCTCATCTGTCCATACCCAATTGTTCTCTATTGTCTTATATTAAGATTGAAATCTTTTTTGAAGCATGGACTATTTTTTGTTCTGGTTTTGTACAGCACAGAGCACAATGGGGTCCTGGCCTGTGACTATGTTCCTCAGTGCTAGGCTACTCCAGATAATTCAGAGGAATGACAGTAAAGATCAACAGCACTCCGCTTTTCATTATGGCTAAGTATAGATGTTCAAAAAGCCTGAGGTGAAAGCACTCTAAGTATCCAGCTTTACTCAAAGTGCTTTAGATTAGGTTAGGAGTGAGCAGAACAGATGTTCACTGTTTGGTGGGGAGGGGCTCAGAGCCTGCTTGCATTGGCTGAGGCCAGCAGGCAGGGGGTCCTCCAGCACGCCTCCCAGAAGGCTGCTGGAGAATGCTGAGGCCAGCCAAGCACCCAGCCACGCCTGATTAACTAGTACAGCCCCTCGCCCCAGCCCTGCCCCTCAAACAAGTTGGCTGCTGTCAGTGCCAGCGGCTGATGGGTGAGGAGGGGGAATGGAGCCCCCCTGCCATCTGGGTTGCCCTCAGCTTGCTGGGTCAGGACTTGGAGGGCCTGGGCTGGCCCCACATGGCAGGGGGTCTCCATTTCCACCCCTGCCCAGCTCCAGCCTCTTGACAGCTGAAGCTTGGAGGTGCATGTGGCTTTTAACTGTACCAGGAACACCTGCACCAGGGTGCACAGGTGGGAAAACAGAGCCCCCCCACCATGTGCCCCTCTCCCCGCCCCCCCGCTTGTTGGGTCCTGGGTGGGGATGCGTTCTGTTCCGCTGCCCGCCTGTCCCTACTTCCCAGCACAACAAAAAGCTGTGCACAGCTCCAAGCTGCAGCCATCAAGAGGCTGGGCAGCAGGGGCAGGGGAAAAGGAGCCTCCCTAGTGCATGGGCCTGGCCTGGCCCAAGCTAGCAGGCTGGGGGGCACATGGCAGGAGAGGGTTTTGTTCCTCCCCCACCCCAGCCTCCTGACAGCAGCAGCTCACAATTATGTATGGCTTTTTACTGCATCAGGAGGCTGGGGAAACCAGAGCCCACCTGTCATGTGGACCCAGCTTCCTCCACCCCCACAAGACTTGAGCCAGCAGGCTGAGGGGGAGGCAGGTGAAATCGAGGGGCTCCAATCCCCTCCTTCGCACCTCCAGTTCCTGGTGCTGTGAAAAGCCATGTACAGCTCTGACCTGCATCTGTCAGAAGGCTGGGGTGGTGGTGGGGAACAGAGCCACCCTGCCATGTGGACCCAGCTCAGCCCCCCCAAGACCCCAGCCAGAAAGTTGGGGGCAGGTCACAGCAGGGGCTCTGTTCTCCCTGCTCTGCCTGGCCACACAGGAGGGAGACAGAGCCTTTTCTGTCTCCTCTCTCTGATAACCTGGGGTCAGGGCTGGTCCAGTGCTCACCCAAAGCAGATGGGCACTGGCCAAGGCTAGTGTGCTGTGAGGGGTAGAATGCAGCCTACCTTGACCTACCTTGACTCGCAATGGGATCTGGTACAGATGTTTGATAAAGTGCTGTAACCTAAAATGATTCAGTCTGATATCACATCCGTCCAGGGTTAACTTAGAATGGGATCCGCCATTTTAAAAGTTCTTTATGCGTCATGAATGTTTGTTCTGTTATGGCTGTAGAGTGCTTTCTGCATGCGTATCGCACAGTAAGTGTAGGCTCTTAGGACTTGGTTTCTACATTGGACTGTTTGGTTACGACAAAGACAGCAGCCCCAAATCCCAGTCATTTGTAATTACCCCTCTCTCACAGCTCCAATAAAGTCTAGTTAACAAACTTGGACAACATTTTCCAGGTTCTTTGGGGTCCCATCCAACACTTTAAAACAGACAAATTCAACTAAGCTTCTGAAAGGAAGAGAGAGTCCACATTGTTCTGTATTACTGTGTGACTGCACTTTCACCTTGGCTACATAGGAAACTTGCCTCCTAAACTAGTCACAATTACATGAAAAACAAATGTCTTGCGCATGTCACTTGGAGATTGTATTTCAACCTAAAAATCAACATAGCTTGTGAACAAACAATTGCTATTGTAGTGGCATGTGGATAAATTACAAACCTGCTGAACTTGATTAGAGAAAGAAACAGACAGTACCCCATTTATAGTAACAGTAACATTTATAGACAGTAACATTTATGAGTGGTACAATATTGATGTTAAGATAACCATATTCTGAATCTAGTAACTAGTAAGGAAACCCATCATTTTATATCCATGAACATATTCAGAGTATCTGCTTCACACTCACCTTAATGACACTATATTACTACTAAGGAAGTAGAAGAAAAGTATAGATTCTTGACAAAGAATATATACTTTTATCTCTCTCTGGTAGCAGCAAACATTTATCCACAAAGGTAAAATGAACAGGTTATATATTAGTGCAGCTCAGGCAACCTATTTACTAGAATAAGTTAGCAACAAAATGAACCTGTTTTCTAATGCAGCTGACAAGAAAAAGAAAGGGAATAAGCCTTCCAAAATCCAATCATCTAATTAAAACCTTTAATATAACTACAATGACTTTGATTAGATAAGGATAACAAGAATATGCAACTTTATTTTTAAAGTTCCCAAATGCAAATTTTTGCATAAAAATTGTTTTGTACATATTTTTCATTCTCAAAACACCCCCCTCATGATGAGAAATTTTGAGAAGTACATAACCCAATTTACTTTCTCCAGTTTAGCCTTTTATCAGACAAAAAGGGTCTTGAAAGTATACCTGTCTTCTCACATACCACGTACCTTCCCCCAGGATAAGACATGTACCCTGTTTTGGTAGGACAGAATGAAGGAAAAAAAAGTTTTTCCAGCATCATCCCTTCCATAACATGGATTCAACATGGCTGAATGCTCCCAGCTACCTGTACCATTCTCCCTCCTACTAGCTCTGACATTCAGGTTTTAACTCTGGTTTGCAAGGATACAGTGAGTGACCTGAGTAGTGACTGCTTCTCCTGCCTGCACCCGAGAAGGAAAGGAAAAGCAGCAGAGGTCTTGGAAGCCATTATGGCAACCTTATGCCTTCATTCTAGTGTAGACATCAGCTTCCTTGTTCAAAACACATACCTCATTTTTTTTTGGGGGGGTGGGGGGGAAGGTACATACAATAAGTGAATAAATACACTATTTTCACAATACAGCCTGCTGACCTCTTATAAAAGGAGTTAGCAAATATACCGTACTACATGGATCTGCTAAATCTGCCTGCACAATACTATGGAAAAAATAACCCAATACAAAACAGAAAGAAACCAGTCAAGAATTAAAATGTTTCACTATCTTTTCCATTACATTCCATTTTGACATGGACCAATTTTGCTGTTCTATACAGCTATTCAGATGCTATGGTAGTGAGGACCACAGGTGGACACAAATGGCATAAAGCTTTATTAGTAGTAATTTTAAACTCTGGCTTCATTACCTTGACCCATTTACTTGGTTTGGGTTACATTCCATCTTGATGGTGACTCTGGTGGGGGGTTGTGATAACCAATCTTGCTGGGGGACACGTGGACTCATCTTTGATGTCTGCCCATATTCACTGGAAGAGGAGGCAGTCATCTCTGTCTTAGTAAGGTGTGGCGTTCCGTAGGCACACTCAAACAAGGACTGATCTTCACTCACTACTGATAATGCTTCCTAAAAACCAAACAGAAGAAATAAGCATGACATTGTATCAGAGAGGTAGTACAGATATTACCAAAACATTTATGAGAATAAGTTAGGTTTCAGGCATCATATGAAAGGTATGTATTGACGGTTTATTTGCATACTAAGGATCATTTGTTGTAATATAATTACAAGAAGTGCAGTAAAATAATTACTGGAAGCACAGCACACAGTAACAGAAAGAGAGTCTCTGTCCCAAAGAACATCCCAAAGTGATGATCTGGCTCTTGAGCCTTCTAGTATTGAAATCCTGATCTCTTCCTAACCTGGAATTTCTGTATGACTTAAGTTGACTGAATGGCTTACAGCAAGCATGGTGGAATACTGTTCCTTTTAGCTTCATGAGAACTACATCATAAGAGCTGATGTTTTCTCAGTTGTGAAATATATGAGTGGTCTCTACCCTGTTACTATGCTGAAACATCTCAACATTACAAAAGCTGTCACCACAATTAGTGTTTTGTTGGTCTTAGCAGAATGGACAAAAACTGTATAGGCCTGCAGAACACCCTACATATTTTCCCTCAAAGTGATCTTTCGATTTTATTATTCAGCCATGAACACGAGAAGAAGTGGGATGGGAACACAAGCACTGCCCTAGTCTGTCCTATTGTTATTCTGCAGATCAGTGGTGCTCATCCTCAGGTGCAGCCCATGAAGCTGGTGTGAATAGCTGATCACTAGCATGTCAGCACAAGTGAATGCTACTGCTGCTCCTCCCCTTCTTTCCTCTGCCACTGAATTCTGTGACAGAGAAAAGGAGGGTAGGAGCAGCAGCAGCAGCATTAATATTAATTTTCATGGACATAAAAGCCAGTAAGCTGAGAGCTTTCCTACAGCTCTGGAGCTCATGAACTAAGCACAATTGCCGTTCACCTTCCCCTCCCATAGCCCACCACTTAATTCAGCAGCAGGGAAAAAGAGAGGATGAGCAGCAATAGTGGTGGCAGCACTCAGCTCCTGAGCTGTGGAGCTGCAGGGAAGCTCTGAGTTTACTAGCATGTCAACTTGGGCTCTGGCTGGTGGTAGTGTTCAGCTCCTGAGCTCCACAGCTGCACAAAAGCTGCGACTCCAGCCAGAGCCTGCTGGTAGGTTCAGAGCTTTCACACAGCTCTAGAGCATGGGAGACGAGCACAGCCTCTGCTGCTTGGATCCTATTTTCCCTACCGTTGAATTCATTGGAGGGGAAGGGGAAAGGAGAGGTGAACAGTAGGGATGCTCAGCTCACGGGTTCTGGATCTCCATGAAAACTTTGGCAACTGGAAGGGAAAAGGCAATGAATACCCACCCAACCCATGTACAGGGTGCTGCACAAGGCTGGCAACAGCACCTGAAAACAGCAGAAAGTAATTTCAAAGAAAGGCCCACTCTTCTGTTGCAGAGCATGGTCTCACTCCCACCATGCTCCCAGTTTTCCCTTCAGGCACTGGGAAGCCCAGGGAGATGAGGTAAGGTAGTGTTGCCAGCTGGGCAGTCACCATCTGGTCTCTCCCACACCAACACTAAGAACCTGGAAACCAGCCAGATCCTGGTAGGCTAACAAAAGCCAGTGGCCCATCCACCTTTACTTACTGCACAGGACAGTATTTAATTTTAAAGTTTAATTATGTTTATTAAATTTATAATAATTCAACAGGATACTGAACTTTTTTACTTCATATTGCTAAGCCTAAAATGACTAATAATGTGTGTTTATAATGCTTTTCTGTGCAACCCTCAGCCCATTTCTAATTTTAATTTTTATAAAAACTTTGAGCACCTTTGCTATAGACACATAAAAGAGTTCACTTTCTGGGACTGATGAAACAGAGCCCTGTACCAACACTGCTGTAAATAATGCAAATTCAAAATAAAGACATTAAAAAGCCATATCTGGCAGAAGGATCCATGAGTATTAGGCATTAACTGCCCTGCAAAATGATTAAGGAATCGACTGTGCTAAATCACAGGGAGTTTCTCTTCCTTCCTGTAAGATTAGTGCCAAATCCTTTTCTGAAGAGCAGAGTGATGGGGAGAAGAGATATAGCTGGGTGTAACCTCTGTTGCAGGGATTTTGGTCTTTCTGTCAGCAAAATAAAAATGCAAACAAGGCTAATGTTTGCTCCTGGCTGCAAAAGAGGTGCTAACTGACTGGTTGGCTGGACACCACCCTTAAACCACAAACCAAACTCCCTTAAGAATGTGGCACGTTGACCAACCCATAAGCCATCTCTCTCTCAGAGCACTTCTTTGAGAACTGCATGGAGATCCTAATTTGCTGCATGTGTGGGAAGAGGTTCCCTGCCTCCTTTTCCTTGCTGTGGTGACAGTGTGGTTATGGCACCTTTACAGCTTGGAACGGTCTAGGTGGCTGAGTACAAAGGACTGGCAGTTGGAAGGCAGCTGCAGCTGCATATAGTTGGGGACTGAACCCAAGAATGATGTAGCCTACAAAAAAGACCATCTCCCTTACTGCACCATTGCAGTTAATCTTGTAATGACGTTATTTCTTCTTGTTGCTATTTTTAACCAGTTAAAGTCACCATAGCTCTTTTAGATAGCACAGTTTGGGTAGACGTAACATTTGCTTGTTGCCCTAGTATAGCACAAAGAAGGTTTGAATCCTTTATGTCAAGCTCTGCTCTAACCAGTATATAACTGGGGAGCAGAGAGACAGCCCGGAGCGTATTTGTGCCCTGAGAATAAGTTGTGGGTTGGAGAATTCCAGGGCAAAACCAAGTCACCGAACAAGAGACCTGCTTGCCTGAGAGCACATAGTCCCAGCCAAGAGCAGTATATGAACTAGCCATCTGACAAAAGTTAGACATACTAACAGACTTCATGAGCTAGGTCTCCTAGACAGGCTTGGTAAGAGTAAGTGGTAGATCACAGACCACACCCCACTGGGGACATTTTGTGTGGGATGGTCAGTGTGCTGTAGCAGGCAACATCCTTAATGATGGTCCTGTCAACAGAGAATGAAACAGATACAAGAGCTAGAGCTATAGGAGTCAGTATGTTTAGAGAAAAGAATAAACTGCAGTAATACTAATCCCAGCTGTTCAAAAAATATTAATCAGACTTTAAAGTCATGACATTGTCTTAAAATGTTTGACTTTTTAAAAAAGGCAATGCATTTAGTGTTCCTCTTCTCCTGGTTTCTGAGCCCTCAGGGTATATTTTGGTAACATTCATTCTTTCTTCCACAACCTGGAATGCTAGATGCTGACATTTTTTAAATGAAACATGAGATTATCGGTTAATCTCTTGACTTCAGGAACTGAATCTTTAAGCAAAGCACTAAATATCATGAGACTTGCAATAAAATCACAAGAGCTGGCAACAAGGCTACAACTTTGTATCAGGGAGTACACATCAAATATTGGAAAATGTTTTACAAAGTATCATTATCATTACTCACATTACACAAAGGCTGCAGGAAAGCTGCCACAAGAATCTGGGCATTACCTGAACTATTACATAGTTAAGTTACCAGCCTATTTTCTACCCCCATCCCTTTGCCACCTCTTCACTGTGCTCCTAGTAGCAAAGAGCTCCTGATATTCTTAGGGATCCTGACAGCGTGCAAACATCATACCAGATGCTAGTGGGAAGAAGTGAGAACTGCTCTACTAGAAAGGTGGGGTGACTGCTGGGGATTTTTATCCCCACCATCCTGGCTCCAAACAGGAGGATGCACTGGAGAGAGGTCAGGGGAAAGAGGTGTCAAAACCCTTTGATGCTGCATCATTTAGTAAGGGATCTTTACATCCAACTTTCTTATTTTCATATCCAGAGGTTCAAAGGAATTAAGTCTCTCAGGGGGGAAAATATTTTCTTTTACTGTATTCTGTAATTTTCCATGAAAATATACTCCCCCTTGAGCATGTACCCGCAATACTGGATGGACTGCCATTCAGTGTCTGAGACAGTTTTCTGCCCACTTCCTTCTCCTCTGCTCCGCTGTGGAGTCAGTACATGGACTGAATAACATATTATGTAATGTTAACTTTGGCAATACTGATTACCGTAAATGTGTATAAGAAAGTATGAATTATAGATGAGAAAGCAAAGCAAAGGCTGCAAAAATAGCAGGTAGAATGTTACTTTAATCTGTAATCAATATGTGACATTTCTGAAAGTTGCATAAAAATGCTGCTGATTGGTTTTATTTACACACATGCACAAGCACGCAGGCACCCCACACCCTCCTCCCAAATAAAACACCTTTTATTCCAAGATCACACTCAGCATGGCTCTGAACAACATGACTGAAGACTGTTTGGGGGTATTTATACAACACAAACCAGGATTTTAAGAGACAGGAGGATTTACTAAATCTGTATCTATTGGCATGAATCACTATCATAAAATATTGCCTCCCCCTTAGTTTATTTTACAACATCTCCATGTTATTTTTCAACATCCTATGAATGTACAACCTGACATGTTATATTACATAAAGGGGGGAAATGAAATGTATTTCAGTGGATTCAATGTATCTGAGCAGATTATACTAAAGCCCCCCCAAAACTATGGCAGTTAGTAACAATTATGGTGATAGTGTAAAGACTATGATCAAAACAGAACAGATCAAAACAGAAAAATAAAGCCCATAAATTAATATAAAAGATTGTGTCTAGCTACATTTATCAGGAACATGTCTCATTCTAAATGATTTCTGAGCTAAAAATATCCAGTCTACCACAGGAATTCCTCATATGATTTGGCAATTGAGTTCAGATTCCACTAGCGTGTTGTCGCCTTGTGATTTATCAGTTATCAGTTTCCCTGTAAAGGGCTATGGAGGCAGTGTGGGAATATCTGTACTTTCTGTCATATCTTTGTACACATGGGTTATTTCATGTGGAGGAATTAGTGGCAGGGTGAAGCTTCCATAATAACCAGACTGCATGTACTGTCTGCCTTTACTTTACTATTGCCCAATGGACTTTGTTACTCAGAATGATTCCTGCAAAACTTTCTCAGTT